CGAAGCGTTCTCATCTCCATGGTTTGGGTCCCACGCCACGCTTCTATCAACCCGCTTTGATGTCTAGGCGCTAAGAAGCACTCTACAGACGCGAAATTACGGAAGCGTGTTTATACCCGGTATCTGGAGTGTACAAGCGTACATTTACCCTTGAAGAGGGTATATCGATTTAAGCAAGATGTTTGAAACTCACGAAGGGAAGTCTCTCGAACCCGAATAAGATTTGTCTCTAGTCTCTCAGCCCTTAAGCTTTAACCTGTCATAGACCCTTCTCTTTGCTGCCAACAGTTTTGAAGTCAATATTTTAAGTCATAAGCTACAAATAGGTATGTATGTACATACGTAAGCTGGAATATGCTATTCGATATGTTTCGATTCATAACTATGTCAAAATTACAGCTGCTCTGTGGGAAATTTCAAAATTATCTGGTTAAACTAACTTATATCTATCATAAATAGTAACAAAGACCAACGAAATTGTGCATTGAAAAGTAAAAACCATATGAGAGCTCCTTTCACCTGACAGAAGTCAAATCGCAATTGTCCATAGGCTTTTGTTCCTTGCTGATTCTTAGAAAGGTTTCTGTCTAAAGCGTAGTTTATTGAGATTTTCATGCTATACTTTGCTGTCAACACACCAATATATTGATGCAATATATATACACAACTAACTCTACAATACTATACATAGTGTATAAAAGAATGTTCCAGAATAGCTGCTTAGCTGTCCCTCAGTTGGAGTAATCGTAATCGTCCATTTAACCTTATGTCACACCGCTGCTTCATACTTTTCGCCAAGTACGCTTGTGTAGGTGTTGGCTTCTTTTATATTCGTTATTTATTTATCTGCTGGGCAGACGCTGTGACAATAATAATAAAAATAGAGAATTGCTGCTTGGCGCACCATCGGTCTTAAAAAAGAGCCTGGCCTGCGACAACGACAAAGATACCTCTTCCTCGACTGAAGTCCCTTTACTTGACGCTTAAATATTCTTCAGTGCTTAAGTGGCGTTGCGGTTGCGGTAGTAATCGCACATTAACAAAAGGAAGGCGCCGTGCCCTCTAGATTTATATCCTTATCCTTTGAGTTGGACTGATAGACTGATACGCAACCCAGTTATTCAGCCATTTTGTTTGGTTTGTTTACTACAAGCTCATTCTAAATTAATGTACACTTGGAGGGGGCATAGTTTTTTCTTCAAAAACAACGCATCGCAGAGAGGAACGCATATAAGCCATACAGATTCATGATTATTGGAATCCGAGTCGATCGTCAGAGCTAGAATTTGGATAGTGGTGCAGACCAATTTTCCTTTGGCAGTCTGTAAACTGTTACTTTTATCTGTTATATTATTTAAATTCTAGTTTAGTGGAGCTAGCAAAAAAGCCTTTGTCCCCAGCTCGTCATTTTACTCTCCCTGTGGTTCCTCAGTATGTAAATAAAATGTGAAAAAGTTATTGTTCTCTCGAGTCGTTACTCGTGCAAAGACAGACGTAAGGCGGCAGAAATTGCATTCTGCGGAAATTTACAGTTGCTCTGCGGATAAACCGAAATACGAGTAACTCGTCCCACTTGTCAGTGAATTTGGCATGAGCTGCTCTTAGGTCTCAGGGCTCGGGCTCCGGACGCCACAGAGACTTCAGTGGGGTTGCAACAATTGTTTATGAGAACACGAATTTGCAACAAAACAGACTCGACCCACACCTTTTCTCGATGAGCTGAGAAGTGAGTATCACTTGAAAGGTCGCTATTGTGTGAATTCGTTTCGTTGCGTTAATGAGGTGCCTGTGCCCGTGCGCCTGGGTATGCTCGTATTCTGGGATGGAAGCAGGAGAGCTCGAGAGCTGGAGCGCTGGAGAGCACATCTTGTCAGTGCGATCTGGGCCCCGTGCACTTTTAATTTTAATTGAAACAGAAGGTTTATCTAAAAGCCCTTTCACTCATGTTTTCTTTAGCCTCGCTTACCACACAGACAACGACAACCCTCCACCATCCACCACGCACTTTACGAGCATCTCAGCGTGGACCTGCCACATCTGGCGGCAATTACAAACACCAGCGGGATCATCATCATTACCTATAAGCACTTAATCAATTAAGAATCTGCTTTGAAGGCAGCAAATCCTAGTCTCTGTCGGGATCGTGATCAGGGATCCCTTCTTCAGTATCGCCTTTCCTCTGTACCATTTCAGAGGTGTACGAGTAGGTTTCCCTAACGCAAGCAAACGAGATGAAACAAAACGGAATATACAAATGAAGTACAATTTAATAATGAAAACAAACAAATAAATAAGTCTGACCCATGGTGGTGAGTGGTGGATGGTATATAACAAGGTTGGAACTGGAGGCTGGATGGGGGCGTTTGGGACTGAGTGACGGCGCCTGACAAAGTAAACGAATAGGATAAATAAGCAAAGACAACATACATACGTCCAAAAATCAACAAGAACAAAAAAAAATCCTACCTAGAACACAACGAATCGGAACGGAAAAGAACAGAACGCAAACCAAATAAAATAACGGAATAAAACAATCAGGAAATTGTCCTTTGATCTTTTTCCTCCCATGCCCATGCACCATACCCAATGAACCCCAGCTAACTATGCCAGCGTAATTTTCTACTGCTTATTTTCCGCTTTTGATGACATAACCAAAATAACAAGATATACAAATAAAAACACACAAACAGTGTCTATGTCACTTTCGATTACGGTGGCTCGTCAAAAGTTAAACACGCCTTCAATCAATACGAATGCAATGCCCAATAAAACGCTAGACACAAATATCTCTTTTGCTTGGTAGGATATTGCGCATGCCAAATAATGATTCCTAAACGGTGCTAACACTTGGAAGTTTGCAGTTTCAACTTAACAGTTTAACTGCACTGTTCGGAGAGTTAAGCTTTCAAAAACCAGTGCAGATAGAAAAACCGTCATCTTTTAAGGTTCGTTGGCTGACTGTACACTGGAGTACTTAAACTGCTGTCTCCGATTTTCATGTAGGAGACTGGGTTTGTTTCGACTTGTCTTTCATATAGAAGCTATATGATATAGAGGTCCAATACAGATAAAGTATCCGATGCTGCCGAGTTTAACGAATTATTGAAGACTATGTTTTATTATTGGTCATTTTATATATGATATAAAGCTTCGGTATCAAACATTATATTGAATTATCTTTAGAAACAAAACAGTACACATAGACGAACATGGCCATGGCTGTTAACGAATGAAAAACGAGGGGGAACGCTGTGAGTTTCTGCTGCGACCGCCACTCTACATTTATACCCGATACTTAGTCAGTATGGCTCTCCCCCCGGCAGACGGCACGTACATTGAACGACAAAAAGTGTGTGCGAGAAAGACAGAAAATTAGTCTGAACGTGTCGTCGGGCGCCGCGTAGCGACCGAAAATGGATTTGTTACTTTAGCCGTTAATAATAATCATATGGTTATCCTCTATGATTGTGCGTTTTTAATTTTTCCGTATCTTCAAAATTGTGGTGTGGATACCAAATTTGGTTGGTCTAGCTTTAATAGTCTCTGAGATCTGTGGATGCCACAGATGTTCGTCCTTTGTGGGGGCTGAACGGGCTAAACTTGTAACAGTGACATATTACAGAAGTCTGGATACAAAATGTCGTTCTAGCTTTTATAGTCTCTGAAATCGAGGCGCTCATAGGGACAGACATAAGGACGGACGGACAGACGGATAGCCGAAGAGACAGATAGATAGACATGGCTCTATCGACTCGGCTATTGATACTGATCAAGAATATACATACATATGTATATCCATCCACACATCCATTCTCATCACAAATCTAAAATACCCCTATACTCATTGTGAGTATCGGACTTACTTCCTATGCTACATCTAAGTACGTCTGAGCCTGCAAGCTGGGTCTTGCGCATAATTAAATCTGCACATAGACTAAAACTAATGCGATTCAAAAATAGCCCAAGTGTGTCCCGAGCTTTTTAAGTTTTTATTTTTGTACATACGAGTCCATGCAAGAAAGGATTTCGTCATGGATTTCTTCAACCTTCAATTCATTGTACGTACATATCACATATGTATGTATGCACATAATCCTACTTCTCAGCTCGCGATTAAAAGCATTAAATGGTGGACGTTTATTATACAATTTATTAACAAAACGGCTTACACATTATTCTTTTTAGACGATTACGATAGTCTGAAACATAATAGTTTCTCAGTCGTCCACAGGTATCCAAGCTAAAATTGTTTCTTTTCTAGATATTGCGACGATTGAAAGGCGCGAACTATCGAAGAGCCCCCATGCATTTCGTTTGCATTTCCGGCAATAGTAGTTGCATTTCACATTCATTAATATTCTCACTTTGTCTTAAAGTCTTAAGCTCTCACATGAACTGCCGAAACCGCAGCTGCACCCGCACAAAGCGATGCGCACCAGTTTTGCATTGGGATCGTAGCATCGGCGATCCTCCACTTATTTTTTGCTAGACTGCTTTTCCTGTGAGTCGAGCTAGTCGAAAATTCTAGAACCAACCGCACGCATGATTTTGAACTGCCGCCTAATGTACGATAAAACACGAGATCAAATATGGACCTATAGACCAGGAATATTAATTAGAAATAATATCGATATATTAAAAAGATATTACAGTCTACGCATTCGCAACCAATAATGCTCAAATAATGGTAGAACATACATACATACATATGTACATGGTGGTGGTTGTGGTGTGGGTTTTATTCAAGACGCTTTTGTTCAAAAACATTCGTGTGCTTATGACTAGGTACATATTTATAAGTATGTACTATATGTACCCTCATGAACATAGTATTTATGTATCGAAATCATAAAGATGAACTGTAACTGTACGAACGTACATATGTACATTTGCTACGAAGGGACAAACAATCAAGAGGACGACATGTCTTATATATGTACATACGTACAGGTGCATATCTGTATGTACATTTGTATGTGCATATACACATGTGGACTTACATATGTATGCCAGTCGTTACCGTCCGCCAACCGAAACGCAATACAGCAGTTACCTCATACAATGGCAAATAATTGACGAGACAATTGGCTAAGGCAAGCAGGCCGTGCATTAACCACCCACCACTGCTGGCTTCGCTTCGTCCCTGAACGATAAGGGGAGGAGCTTCAAGTTTATACTCAGCTTCGTGTTCGTTACGTTTCGTATTCTTATTGTGTTGCACAATCAATTCAGTGCCCTTTTCCGTTTGCGTTGGCGTTGGCGTTGCCCTGTGTCTGGCTATCGATTTTTGTTTGAGCCATGCAAAAACAAAAAGGTTTTTGTTTTTCATCATTTATGTATATATCAGTACACATACATACCTATGTACTTATATATGTATAACATATACACAGATTTATATGTATATATGTATGTATGTATATATACGCCAGAGACAGATAGAGAGAGAGATAGAGAGAGAAATGCTTACCAATGGACGGATAGAAGCTGAAAAAAGACTACGAGTGTGTAAGAGAGAAAGATATGGAAAGAGCGAGAAAGACAATGCTTGTAATTCGTGCACAATATGTATGTGCAGAACAATTGAATACACGCCCACATCCACATCAATTCCCAGCCAACCCAACCGCTCTGTCTGTCGTGCTTTGCGACTAGGGGTGGGAGAGTAGAGGACAAAAAGCTGCGCGGCAGTGGAGAGAGCAAACGAATCGCAATATAGAGAAGCTAAAGAGAAGAGACGAACAAAACAAACCGATGGTACTATACTGTGCTCTTAGCCGCTCTCGCAGCAATTCAATTGTTAGATTTTAAGCTCTTCTAATAAGAGAGCCAGTACTGCTTCGGGTCCAACCAAAACCAGCGATGCGACAGTGACAGCGACGTCAACAGCGGTCGGGCGTCTGTTTGAACGGGAAAATAGAAAAAAGTACTTCTACCTCAATCTTTCGGGCGCCGCGGACAAGGAAACAACAAAATAGTGTAGAATTTGTTTCTGAATTCAGAAAAGTCCGTTGAATATCCCATAAAAATATCCATATTAGCAGCAAAGAATTTATACATACATATAATGACGTTTGAAACAGTAAAAGGAAAGTGGAATATTGGTGCATGCCAATAACGGTCGCATGGAAATGCCAGCAAGCAATCAGTCCTGTTCGTTGGACTTCACATACTCACACGGATACGCGTCTCGTTGCGATTTGTCATTGTGTAAGGCAAGAAAAGGTGTCTGTTCCGCAACGCAGTGCCTCAGCCAATCAGGCAAAAAACATTTTTTGGCCATCCCACTCATTTCATATACACACCGACAGAATTGGCATTCAGCTTTCTTGCAGTGCAGTAATGGCAGTAATGGTGAGCCACCTGTCATTTTAAGTACAAATCCGAAACGATACACGTGCTTGCTGAGCCTGAGCTTGCTAAAAGCCTGAGGACTTTAAAAAATTATACTTCAGTATAGTGCTAAATGAGCTAACATGAAATGTAACTCTTCTTTGTGAAGAAAGTGCTTCATTTTCGATAGTTTTGCGGACCAAAGAACTAGCGTCAAAACAGAAAAAATATATTATTATTTCCAGGAAATGGAAGAAAGATGAAAATTCTAACAGTGGAAAAATTCAGAAATTGCTGATCACAGTCACAAACACTTAACACTGTACACTGTCGTAACACGTAACACTGTCAACGACCGAAAAATTTTAAAATACTTGAATAATACTGGTCTGGCCAATATAGTTCATTTTTCTTTATCTTAAAAAAGTCCTTTCTGTCGTTTCGATTTGGAATGTTAAACAAGTACAAGTCAAAGTATAAACACTTAGCTTTTAAGTCAAATTATAGATCATTCGATTCTCAGAAATTTCGTTCTTTCATTTCGTTACAGACTCAGTTCGATAGCATGACTGACATTGATGCAAGTATTCAGCAGCAGCAGCAACTCCAAAATGTGCAGAGGCTGCAGCAAGAGAGTAGCCTGCAGGAGCTGCATCATCAGCTGAATACACAGTTCGGGGCAGGACGTTTTACAGCGCCGAATCCCCATCATCAACATCAAGCAACTGCTGTTAGTCCCGGCAATTTGGTACCGTTTCTTCCAGCTTTTCTGCGTCCACCAGTACCTGCACAGCAGCTGATACAACTAATGCCTGGCCATGTGAGTTCGCAGTCACAGCACAGTCATACTCATCATGGACCAACGAGCGCACACAAAATGGCTATGCAACCAATGTGGCCGACAGCTGCGGTCGCGGCGGCACACATTCAGGCCGCTTTGGCGGCAGCAGCAGTGGCCGCTTCCAATAATAATAACCACAGTTCTAGCAACAATAATCTTCTCGCAATATCGGCAAGTGTGAATAAGCCGACGGATAGCTCCGGTACACTACCAACGCTTGAGATTGGAGCTTTGAGAGGAAGCTGCAAGTCAAGACCAGAGTCTCCCGTTCAGGAGTGTCATAGCTATTCAATGCTTTCCTACAGCCACACGCCACCAGAGTCACCCCACGGTCGAACAGCCTTAGTCCAGAGTCAAAGTGTCCCAGAAGAGTGCTCCCTAACCTTCCCATCCTCGCCGGCCGATCATAGCGTAGCAAGTCTTTCGGAAGCAGTTCAAGACTCCGAAATGGAGGTTCCACTAAATCTAACCAAGCCGAAAGGATCGCCGGGTTCTTCTCCAACCAGTTGTTGCCCAAGAGACCAACGTGAAAGTCTTACTCCTGTCGTATCCAGTCCGCCATTAGGCTGGCATCATACAGTCCAACATCATTACACAGACATGGAAGCCCCACTTTTAAAAACTCGTGTAAGTAACATTTTTTTAAAGGTTGTCTTATAATTATAATCATAAGAGCCAGCTGTGACTTATGTCTGCCAGTTAAACTTTAAAACTGCCGGCGAATTCAGCATCGAGTCTCATATTGTAGGTATATGGTATACGTATGTAATTTTAAAGGTTTGAAAAGCTCTATTCTGTTCGTTGCCAACATCTGGCAAGATAAACCTCAGGACACTGAGGGAGAGAAAACCATCACTTCGGCCCACCACACCCCATACAGATGTCTAGGCGCGTATGTATGTACCTTATGCTGTGCGCAGAGGAATCAGTCGGAAAAACTATGTGTGCATGTAGAAATGCGAAATACTAAAGAGTACCAAAATCAATACAACACATTTATTTAGATTTTCTTTGTATTTTTATTTCAAGGGCCAAATATGGAATTCTGCTGGCGTTACGGGTGATTGTCCAACATTATGTCCCTCTGGTATTGGAGTTGGCGTATCACGGGCGGCACGGATCAGTCGCGATTCCACAAACAGTTGCGGCACGAATTCAGAACGCTCCGCAGCATTGGACCCAGACTGTTTTAACAAAAATCAAGTTAGCCCAGGTGCTCAGCCACCGTCATCAACTCATCCGCAGAGACATGGTAATGGACACGGACATGGCCATGGTCACAGTCATAGCAAGCCACACATCAAAAGACCCATGAACGCTTTCATGGTATGGGCAAAAGATGAGCGTAGGAAGATTTTAAAAGCTTGCCCTGACATGCATAATTCAAATATTTCGAAAATTTTGGGCGCCCGCTGGAAGGCTATGTCGAATGCAGACAAACAGCCGTACTATGAAGAGCAATCGCGTCTCTCAAAGCTCCACATGGAGCAGCATCCAGACTACCGCTACCGGCCGCGTCCCAAACGAACGTGTATCGTGGATGGAAAGAAGATGCGCATATCAGAGTATAAAGTATTGATGCGCAATCGCCGAGCAGAGATGAGGCAGCTCTGGTGCCGCACTGGTGGAGCTAGTACTGCGGGTCCGGGAAGTGCCTCTGCTGACTCCTGCTTAAATGGACAGGATGGTCCACCTCATGTGCACGCTGCGGCTGCCGCAGCTGTCTATCATTTGCAGGACATGACACAGGCTGTAGCAGCCGCCGCCGCGGCTGCAGCTCATGGGGATGAATGTGGAACTCCTCCTTCACAACCGTTGGGCTGTGCGACTTCTGGCACTTTCTATTATCCTGCAGAGAGCTTATCGCCCTCTGGCTTCTCATCAGAGGAAATGGAGATTTCATCCCAGCGTGAATTAGACGACTAAGATAGCCATCAGCAGACTTAAGCAAGGCATGCCATACAAACCAGCCACAGAATATCTAGTTATATGTATGACTTCTTGCCCTGCCCTATATGCCTATATAACGTAAGCCTCCATGTATGAAAATAAGAGAAAAGAAGATAATGCAACGCACCTTGGGGTTGTAAATAGAAAAAAATTCTAGGATAGTCCTTGTATAGTCATATAAGTTTCAGTTCAAGTGCCATTACATATGTATATTTTAAATAATTATTAACTAATATGTGAATCAATTGTTCGCAGGATGCTCCGTCTGAGTCGGCGAACCGGGACCAGCAGAGCATTCATGGGAACGTTGCAATTTTTGTGCCATTCATGCACCAATGCCGTAGCTATAGAAAAATATCCCAATTCACGCGTACATAAATAGATAGCTAGTAACGTTTAATATTTGTAAAATATGAATAACATAAATGCATACATACATAGTACATAATATATACAAATTATGAATGATGTTACTCGGGCATTGACGATTAGAACCCACTTATGCATTGGGACACATTCAACATAATATACATATACGCATATCTGTACGTTAACATTCACGTTGTTAAGATCATATGCTCTATATACATTCTCGTACGTACGAGTATATACGCCATAATCACACATAAGTATTCCTATTTTTTACCGGTACTTAGGCGAGCTGAACGGTTTTATGTAAGATTGTTCATCATTCTTTGTGAATATTATTGATTTTCTAAGATTCAATTTAAACTAATCAATAAACCATGCACATACGGAAATACATATATATATGTATGTATATTACAGTGTATGAAAATCTGACATGCATCCTACCAATCAGCCTGTATACCCATCCCACAAAAACAAAAGTAATAGTAGCGCATTAAGTAATAGACCAATTAAAAATTTATATTTGTCTAATATTATTTGCCTTTCATAGCATTGTCAAAACCAATCAAGAATGTAAATCTATAATTTGTATAAACTCATCAAGCCAGATAATCGCCATTTAAATGTCTTTTGCTGATCCAAAATTCATACCTAAACTACAAATTGAAATGTTAAAAAATCAGCTCATAATATACGTACACTCAAGTACAAGCTAAACGATTATTTAGACACTATATATGTACATGTAATTAATGGCAATATGATATGTTAGTGGACTACTCTCTTAGCTTTCTTTTGGCTATAAGCAAAGAGCACAAGCTATCCTTGTCTAGGTGTAGGCTACATAAAATACATACATAATTAAACACACACAAGCATACACATAAATCTAGTTTCTACATACACGTGCAATAAAATTTTACATTTCAGTTGGACAGTACCAAAAATATATAATAATTTTCTAAAAACAGCAGGGAATATAGAAAACATGTGGATGTACATGTACATATATACATATGTACGTCCATATAACTTGAAAGTAAAATGGCAACCGTATTCTACTTGACTGGACTGAAAAACTAGACTGAGAGGACAGAGAACATATGTTTGGAGGTAGTTATTTTCAGAATCACCAACACGAAGAGTTGCCGTACAATTCTATTGCTTCTCTGCCACTGCAGAACCACAGAACCCTAGAGCTCTCTCTCTCTCCCTCTTTCAATCCGCCAGAGTGCGCCACACTGAACAAAGAAGAGAGAGAGAGAACGAGTCATCATTATAGTAAGTATGATAATTCTGTACATTAATCATTCCGGTATCTCATATATTCAAATTATGTATGCCACAGGAAAAAACATTTAATATCTACAGGTGTATAAACTAATACATATGTACATAAATATATGTAGAAGAGTTATTCGGGTGGTGATGCGCGCCGGCCGCGGAGCGACCTCAGATCTCTCCAATTCCTGCCATCACCATTTGGACTAGTGTGTTTGAACCTTTTTTCATATACTATAGAACAATAAGTGAATATAATATGTAGTTGCTTATATTAAATAAGAAAATTACAGATTCACAACAAGACGAGGTAACGTTGTGAGTCGCAGCTGCGACCGCGACTCTACCACTTACCACTTACTACCACCACTTATACCTGACACTCGATGAGTGTTTGAGAGATAGACAGAAAAAAAGTAAGCGCGTGGACGGCGTTGTGTAGCCACTACAAACTGATTTGTTCCTTCTCGCCATATTAATAATTTGTGCTTATATAGATTCGGCACCCTGGTGATCGAGAATATATATATACACACATATATATATATATATATATATACTTTATGAGGTCGAAAACGCTTTCTTCTGGGCATTAGTTCAAGTCAAATTTGTATCGGCTGTGCTTTATAATGAAGCAAGACATGTAAAAAGTTATCGTCACTGTCAGCTGAGCTAATAGCCATTCATAGGGCTATTACCTTTGCCACTTTCGCAAACATACGTATTAGCCGTTTATAAAATTGGTTTATTGGTTTATACAATACAAATCAATTGGGTTCTTAGTGGTCTTGGAATAGTCAAGTTTCGCTGGCTAGAATGAAAGTAACTTATGAAGAGAAAATTCTTCACATCTGATTTTCAAATGTCGCGATACCGATATCTACCGATTCTTTAAGAACGAACCTATCGAATTCTACAAATACATTTTTGACTTCATACACACCGCAAATGTTAATATAAATCAAGCACGGGCTAACAAAAAAAAAAACATATATATATATATATATATAACTATATAAAATATAACTAAAACAACCAATGAATATTAAAACAAGAAAATATAAGCCACCCTAAAATAACTTGTATATACTCGTACTTATACATATATACATATCGTATAGATTATACTGCTGATTTGCGAGGGTCCCGAAAAATTTCCGTTGGTGTCGACCAGCTCTAGTAGATGCAAATATTTTCATTTACTGCCGTTACTGGGGATATAAAGAATAGGATTAGTTATATGTATTAGTAAGGGAAAAGGGGATAAATAGGAGTGAAAATATTAGAAAACGTGGAGTGGATTGTGGAAATCGTAGAGCGATTAAAACAGAAATTTTGAAGTGAATACAAGAAAAAGACAGGCGAGCAAATAATGCAAGAAATTTTACTCACAGCCGGAAGGGATATAGCCACCAGAACCGGGCCAGAAGGTTTCTGGAGAGGAACACTGGAGTTCGAGAAAGTCGACTGCAGAGAAGAAGACTGTCCAACGTGAACCTGAGTGAGTTTGTGCCAGTTGCGCGTGTGTGAACCAAGAAGCGCGAGACATGTGATGGGGGCGGACGACGATTTAGCTGCCAGGGCGATCCTAGCCACATCGCACGTTCGTTGCATCGCCTTCCAGTGCGTGCCACACATTTGGTCTCATGCACCACGTAAAAACCCCCAAACCCTATTCACACAGCTAGCCGGCGTTGCCCTCTGGGAAACAAGCCAAGTGTAACACATTTCTTTTCATTGTTTTTCGGGAAGAGTTTAGGATAGTGTGACCGCGGTAATATTTTATAGTATTTTTCCGTAAAGTAAATATATATACCATACTATTTGGTATATTTCCGGAAAACGTTCGCAGCTCCGTTCTATTGTTAGGGTGCAGGTCGATGACGATTTTTCGTCCAATAATTTTCTCATTTCATTTTTGACTATTTTCATTGGCCGAAATGCATTGGTATCATGCATGCGCTTGACAATAGTGGGACCCAGGCAAACCAAGGCAGAGCCCTGCAGATTGACTACCAGCAACGCCATGTTCGGCGATGGGAAATGCTCCATAGCCAGCTGCACGAGCTTTAACGCCTGGTCCACTTGTTGGCTAACTCTGGCGTGAACAGACCATCTGCCAATATCTGCTCACACGACATTTCCATTAATTTCAGAACGTAAGCGTCGAACAGTTCAGTGCGAGAAGCCTCGTCCGCCTGCCTGTGGGCATATTTAATGGCGAACAGTAGCGGCAGCATATGGAAGAGGATTAACTGATTCTCAAACGTCACGCGTTCCTGCTGGATGATGATCTCCTTGGGGGCACGATCGCCAGCTTCTTCCAAAGTATATGATGCAGTTCGGCCATTTTCACAAAGCCGTGCACATGCGTCTGTTGCAGAACGTACGAAAGCAGATCCAATTTGGCCGAGATCTTGTGCAACAGCTCATTGTCATCCACATTGATGTGAATGTGTGAGTGTGATCGTTATTCGAGTATTGAATAAGCGTGCGATGGATTCTCATGAATGCCAGACCCATACTGAAGCAAGCCACGGACTTCATCAGCCGTATTCCTCCGAGTTTGCAGGAATCTGATGGTTCTGCAAGATAATTGCAGGAGATGGTTTAGAACGGAGCCAGTTATAGAGACTCGTTGGACGACAAGTAGCTGGAGAGCACATATGTACACATTCTCTGTGGTGGCAGGCACAATTAGATCTTTGATTAGTGGATAGTACATAAAGAAACACGCTCTCGCCCTCACCCTTAGCCTTTAGGTGCGTTAAAAGCTTCTCAATGTATCGCGCAGAAATATATTCAAGATCTGCCCAAGGAGCGATAGGACCTCCTCTTGCTTAAAAATTTTGTTTTTTATGTAAACTGTTCGCGAATAATATGCTCGACGGATTTGATTTTAGTGGACTGTATTTATTTTGTTCTTGTACAGTTCAATGTCTATTTGGTACTGAAAAATGCCGTCGCAGCGGCGGTAAGAATACATATGTGTTTATACAAATTTTGGTCTCTTCCATTCTCTTCTTGTTCTCTTTTGGCGATGGTTCTTCGCTTAGCGATGGACTTGTTATACGTTCCTCAACATAAACTAATTATGTTTCTGAATATTTCCAGTACATACTTATCACGGCAAAGAATAATTGTTTTTGTACTTAGTGTTGGATAGCGCAGTTGCTGGTATATTTTGAAGACGTTGAAGGATTTATGATATATTTTGAAAATGAGATTAATTTTACACAATCAGTAATATTTGCCGCCATTTACCTCAAGTCGTTGAACTGTTTAAATATAGGGGGCTTAAGTGGGCTAAGTAGGATTTCGTATCGATGTACGAGACGAAAATTGAGGCAAAAACAATCAAAGTAATCATATAGCAGGAAAACAAGCCAGTCATGTAGAAAACAGCTAAGATAAAACAGTATATTTATATAATATTCACGAAATATTTTATAAAAATACGTCCGCAAATACCAGCAATATTGACGTCACAACACTGCGACGGTTTTTTTTTGTCGAAACCGTTTTTTTGTCAAAATATAATCCATGCGAGTACGTATGTTAATCGAGTAAAAGTAGTTAATCTTGAACAAAATGAATTGGTCAATTAATTAGCGTTAAATGTAACCCACCGAACACCAATTTTGTTGTATATTTGCTTCATTGTTAATGAATCAAGAAACACGTATTCAAAGGTTAATTTTTTTTATATAAATTTACAGACGAGAGGGAACGTTGTGAGTTGCTGCGGACACCGCAACTCTACATTTATACCCGATACTTAGTCAGTATGGCTCTCCTCCGGCATACTCCGCGAATATTAAACGACACGACAAAGAGTGCGAGCGAGAGAGACAGGAAATCAGTCTGAGCGTGACGTCGGGCGCTGCGTAGCCACTGCAAATTGATTTGTTGCTTTTAGCCATAAAAATTATCCGATCTGATCCAGATTCCGCAACCGGATATATATGGTCATTCTCTATTTTTTTAATTGGACGTTGACATGCAATGACTGCATCTAACAAGAGGCGATGCAATTACTGCACCGTCAAGTGGCCCGTGTGACACCAGCAGAAGGCTGTTACGCGCGGATCCCAGGCAAAACGCAGCCCTCCTCCCGCCCAACCGACCGAGGGGCGCTGCCGCATGACGCGCGGTGCGTAGCCGAACCAAACGCGAGCATGCAAGAAAGATAGATATTAGACTAACCTTCGAGGAAAATTAGCACTAAACTTATTAAGAAATTAAGCATGCAATAAAATACAAAATACAAATACCACTACAATTACTAATTACTAGAAAGGTGTGTAATGATTAGTAATTTAATAAGAGGAAGAGAATTAGTGGAGGATATAATATGGTAGAGGGAATTATAGTCCGAGCATAAGACCCTAAACGGTTCATGCAAGGAATAATTCGATCTACAAAGTGGAAGGAACAACGGTATAAAGTTTCTAGTCAGTCTAATAGGAATCGTGAAGTTTATGCGGCTCAACAGATCAGGGCTGTCTATGTCACCCCTGATCAAGTTGTGCATAAATATCACACCAAGCATTTTTCTACGGTTAACTAAGGATGGGAGGTTTACTAATAATAGTCTACTAGAGTAAGATGGGAGTCTTACACCCGCATCCCAGTTAAGGCCCCGCAGAGCAAAGAGTAA